GATCTTTATATAGGCGGAGCAAAATTCTTCATCGCTCCGTCTATAGCGCATTGTGATTGGATGTTTACGCTGTCAGTACAGGAGACAAACCAATGGGCCACTGGCTGCTCGCTGTCCGTGCGTGATGGTCATCGGCAAAAAAAACTTCTGTCGGCCCCTTAAGTGCGTCGGCCCACCGGGAAAATGCCCGGTATGCCCGATTACCAATCCAGCCCTGTCCGGGAATGACACGCGGTGACGCGCTGCCACGATGGCTCCGCCCACTTTGAGCTTCTAAAACGCTCTTCGGAAACCTACAGCTGACGTCACGGACACTACGTCCATGTTTTTATACAGTCTGTGTATAAACATTCCATGAACGATGTATAATCAAAAATAAAAAAAACTGACATGCTCTGACATAAAATATGACACACAATTACTCTTCCTGTCTGTTTATCAAGGTTATCCAGCAGGCCTGGCCATATATTGGTCAGTATTTGGAGAAGCTGCTGATGGAAACCATTGCTCCATCCATCCGCGGCTCCAGCAGTCATCTGCAGACGCTCAGCTTCACGAAGGTCGACTTTGGTGGCAAGGTCATACATGCACACTCACTCGCTCACTGCTACACAAGTAATAATATTCCAGTGCAACATTCTCGCACATCTCAATCCACCACAGTGCAAGAGATTAAAGCCACTGAAACATGTCAGAACAAGCATTCTTGTTCTTGAATCTTGTTCAAATAAATGCTCTTGAGGATGTTATCAGCCTCATGGCAAACTTCCTTTGATGTTAAAAGGATTTAAAAATAAATTATAAGACTGTGAAATTGTATATTTTGCTGCAGTATATTTTGTTCATTAACATAGCTAACAGAATTATGATGTTTTAAAATAGCTGATGAAAAGTTATTCATGAAACCATCAACATTTAAAATAAATCAAGTACATCATTTTAAAATAAAGACAATCAAAATAAAACACTGCATGTCATATGACTATTAACCAAGATCAGAGAACCTTAAACATGGAAATGTGTTGTTGAATTATTAAAATATTAATTCTCAGGTGCTTCAAGTAAATATTTAGGTCTAATGTTTGGGAATCCCTGTAGTTAAAGTGCCCCTATTATGGATTTTTGAAAATTACCTTTCGTGCAGTGTGTAACACAGCTCTAAGTGAATGAAAACATCCTGCAAAGTTTTAAATCTGAAAGTGCACCGTGTAAAAAGTTATTGTCTCTCAAAAGAAAGAGTCGACTCTGAATCATTGAAACGAGTCATTTTTAAAACGAATCCCAAGCCGTTTCATGATGACATCAACATGAAACATTAGCATATTGCCCGCCCACTTGTTGGTCAGAATGAAAAACGCAAATTCATTCTTTGCCACTAGGTGCCGCTTTTGGAGCGGTAAAAATAGCGGTTTCCCCGGTAACGCTGTACACAAAGCAGCACTGTGCTCACAAATGCTGCTTTATAAGGCATTACAGGCATGATGAAATGGGAATGAAATCGACCAATCGGACCAATCACGATTAGCGTCACGCACAGGAGGGGTTTGGAAAAATGAATCGTTGAGCGAATCGTTTGGAAGTCGTTGAGCAAGTAAGGTAAAAATAAATGCATATTATAAGACAATGAAAGTGTTTTTTGACCTTGCATGCATGTCAACCTGTTGTTGGGGACTCCCAAAACCAAAATATGAACCTTTCATTACCCATAATAGGGGCACTTTAAGAAATTAAAAGTTAAAATATTTAACTTAAAATCATAGGTGGCAGGTAAATATTTTAGGGCGAATGGATTTTGGAATACCGGAACTATTCTATTACAGATTTATAGAATAATATCCATAAAGAAACAACTGATTTACCAATTTTGCTTGATATTTACAGTATTGCCTGCACATTTTTACATTTTTATTTTAGAACTTTCTTTAATTTTACAGCCGATGAAGGTGGTTGGAGTGAAGGCCCATACAGAAAATGAGAAAGGTCAAATTCTGCTTGACGTTTACATCAGGTGACGCATACAGCTTTACATCTACATTTGAGATTCTCTGCATAAATGAGGTCCTGTAATAATGAGTGAATTGTCTATTGTCTCTCAGGGAGTGATTCAAAACTCTTGTGTACTTGATATTGTGTCTGTATTTCACAAGCTGACAAAACAAGACTGTCAAACAGCTGCCAACTCAAATTTGTTTACTCAGAGCAAAAATGAGAGTACATCCTATTGAAAGCCTCAATTTCAGTTCATTTTAGTTTAGTGTTTAGTTGCCTGGACCAATTCAGCAGAATTGTTAAGGTCATTAAAGTCAATCGAAAGTTTCCTCTCTGCTGTCTTTTCCCAGTTACGTGGGGGATGTTGAGATAAACGTGGAGGTGAAGAGGTATTTCTGCAAGGCTGGTGTGAAGGGAATACAGGTGAGATTCTGCATTTGTGACGGTGGATTTGTTGCACAGTCCCAATAAATAAATGAATGAGTTTCATTTTATTAAGAGAGTTTATTTCATTTTCGTTTGTTCTCTCAGCTTCATGGAATGATGCGTGTGATTTTGGAGCCACTGATTGGTAATGTCCCAATCGTGGGCGCTGTGACCATGTTCTTCATTCAAAGACCTGTAAGTTCTATAAGGGTTCTTCAGTGGTTCTATGGCTGTTTATGCTTCTTGAGTTGACTAGATGGTTCTTTGGATATTAAAATGTTGTTGCATGACATTATGGGTTTTTCAAATATAGTAGTACGGGGTTTCCCAAACTTGGGTATGTAAACCGTAAAATTACAATAAATAATTAATTTTTCAAATAAACACGATTAAAACAATCACTAAAAATATATATTTTTTGTTTACCTACTTGACAATTGTCATGTGACCATTTACCAACATCAGAGTACCATAATATGCAAATGTGTTGTTTAAAATCTCAGGTGGTACTTCAAGTAAATATTTTATGTTTGGGAACGATTTTACACGATTTTCGGTTGCACTTTATTTTACAATATGTGCATTTACGTGTACTTGAAATATACTTCAAAAAGTACTGGGTAATAAAAGGTAACCACATGGGTTAAGGTTAGGTTTAGAGGCAGGTTCTGGTTTCATACCTAGTTATTTCCCAGTTAATTACTAAAATAAGTACATAGTATGTGCATGCAGAACAGGACTGTAAAAGTGCTACCCAATTTTATATAACATTTTTTTTTAGCTTTACAAGGTTCATCTGGGTTCTTCTTTCTTTAAGCAATTCTGGAACCTTTTAAGTGTTTATTATTTCATTAGTACTCAAGTCAGAATGTTAGTTTTGTCAGAATCATGTAATCTTCTCCTTTGCCTTTGTTAGAAACTGACCATTAACTGGACCGGTTTGACCAACCTGCTGGACATTCCAGGACTCAAGTGAGTTACAGTCATTACAGATACACGATAAGATGTTATTCGGTTCAGTACACTCACTGTCCTGAGCTGCCTCCTTTTTGGTGTGTTTCTCACTGAATCTATTTCACACCTATCTCTGATTCTGTTTCTCAGTGTGATGTCAGATACTATGATCATGGACGCGATTGCTTCATTCCTGGTTCTGCCCAATCGTCTCACTGTTCCTCTAGTGGCAGACCTACATGTGGCACAGCTGCGGTGCCCTTTACCCAGGGTAACACACACACACACACACAGAGACAGACCTTTACAAATGCCCATAATATACACATTAGAATCAACATTCAAAGCAACAACACTCAAATACATAATACTTTGGTTTTTGCAATTGAAATGTAAACTACCGTTCAATAGTTTGGGCTCACCAAGTCTGCATTTATTTTTTCAAATATAGTAAAAACAGTAATATTGTTTAAGATTATTACAATTTAAAATCACAATTTTTTGAATATATATTTAATGTAATTTAGTGATGGTAAAGCATCATTACTCCAGTCTTCAGTGTCACTTGATTCTTCAGAAATCATTCTAATATGCTGATTTGATGTTAAAAATAAAAACATTTCTCTGCCCTGCAGTCTCATTCTGTGCGTCTTTCTTTATGAAGGGAGTTGTGCGCATTCACTTGGTGGAGGCTGATGGCCTGGCTTCGAAGGATAACAGTGTGATGGCGGGTATGTCTGACCCGTATGCCCTGCTCAGAGTCGGCCCGCAAACCTTCAAATCCCGCCATCTGGACAACACGCTCAGTCCCAAATGGGATGAAATGTATGAGGTGCGTGTTAAAATGACACCACATTATAATAAGAACAAAAAAGCAGTAAGTCATTTGATATCAATGTTTGATGTAAATGTGATGAACATCTTATTCTCATGTGTATCTGTGTCTTTCAGCTCAAATGTAGAACCATTTACGCCACATTTTGTCTTTGATTACTCATGCTGTTACTGTAGGTGTGTGTTTGGTGTTTCATGCATGCGTGTGTGTCTGTCAGGTCATCGTTCATGAGGTGCCTGGTCAGGAGCTAGAGGTGGAAGTGTTTGATAAAGATCCTGATCATGATGATTTCCTGGGCAGGTACCATATCACTGTCTATCCGTCTCTCATTTATTCTTTAAAAGGGGTCATATCTTACTTTTTGTTTGCCCTGAAGTTCACGTGTAATGTTAGTCAAGGTTTGTTGCAGCTAAAAACTTTTTCATTCCAAAAGTTTCAGAAACATGTACTTGTTTTGCATCATGATATGAGCTCTTTTGTATAGATCTGTTCCAGATTTTCATTTTCTAAACATTAATTCGTAATGTCCTATAACTATAAACTATCATTACCATAAACTCACCTTTGTTTTTAGCTGTTTGCTGATCTCACACTATTCTCATCTTTGCATTGCTTCTCTTTATTTCACTTGTGCGCAGAACAAAGTTAGACTTGGGGATTGTGAAGAAATCTCAAATAGTGGATGAGGTGAGAAAGTTTATTAATATTCCAGTGCACTGTTTTCTCCTGTGTGTGTGTGTGTGTGGTTAACTTGGTTTGGTTTGCAAGTCCATGCATATCTTTCACCACATGATGTGAATTCTATATTAATGAACCAATCTGTTACAAACCACTAAAATCATAACCCATGTTTTGTATATTGCAGTTATTATCGTTTATGAATATGATTATCACAAGGATGAATGCTTGATTCTGATTGGCCCATTATGGCATTCTCCAGTCAAATATTTTAATGATGAGGAACTTTTATTTACTGATTTTTATAACTCTTGCAGTGTTATCAGTAACTAAAACTAAAACTTTTCGGTAATTGATATAAAGCTGAAATAAAATAAACCTTATAAAACTTGAACATTTTGCCTTGAAATAAAGTTAAAGCTGAAGTATTAAAATTACAAAAACTAAAACTGAAAAAAAAAAAGAAATATAAAAATGACAAAAGCACATAACACGATTACAAAAACTTTAATTAAAATAAAAACTGAAAAAAAAAAAAAAAGCTAATTAAAATGATTAATGAATACTATAATAGTACATAAATAATACTAAATGAACAGTGATCTCATACCACTCTATGCTCTCTTTTCTTACATAATAAAACAGTTTTAGCTGAAAGTAGGATTTATTTGTTTATTTGGTAAGTTGCTGTGTAACGTGTTCATTATTGCAAAATAAATCCTGACAAGGTTGTGAGTCTTGTATCACTCTGAAAGTGTTTCTTTTGCAATTACGACCAGCTTATTTATTGAACATTGATGTCTTTTTTCATAATATCAGTCATAAGTTTGTTGTAGTCTGTATTAATGTCTCCTTCTTAGTGGTTCACGTTGAAGGACACCCCTACAGGACGGGTTCATCTCAGACTGGAGTGGCTGACGCTAGAAACCGACACAGAGCGACTGGAAGAGGTCTTGCAACACTGCACATACACAGAACACAGGGGGTTTTGTTGGAAATAGGTGTGCTCTGTTCAACACACATGCAAACAGTGTGTTCGTCTACTCCACCCGTTATCCAATCCCAGGAAACCTCAAATGTGTTTAGAGATTGAAAGCTTGAAATACAAACAGAATTTCTTGCAGTTGGTTTGCTCCTCCCTACATTGCCCTCATTTTTTTTCTCTCTCTCTCAGGTTCTGAAGAGAAATGAAAGTGTGGTGAGTAAAACAGCAAAGCCGCCCTCAGCAGCCATCTTGGCAGTGTATCTGGACAAGGCTGAGGCACTTCCTGTGAGTAATACTCTCACATCCTCTTCCTGCTGCACTCTCTGTTCTAACGCGCACACCACACACACATATTGTCCCCACAGACAGGTGTGTTAAATTTGGCTAAAACCTGCTTTTGTGGACATCTGGGCATGTCATTGATTGGAAAAATTATTCATAAATAAAAGAATTGTGCTTTTAACATTTTAAAATGGTAAAAGTAAAAATTAGCTTTAAATAAAATAAAATAATGATGCTTTTATATTTAGCTTTATATGACAACAACGGAAGTTTAAGTCTGCATATATTTGATCAAAAATGCAGTAAAAACAGTAACATTATGAAATATTTTTACAATTTCAAATAACAATTTTCTATTTTTGTTTACTTTAATATGTAATTTATTCCTGTGATGCAAAGCTGAATTTTCAGCATCATTTCTCCAGTCTTCAGTGTCACATGATTCTTCAGAAATCATTCGAATATGTTGATTTGATGGTCAAGAAACATTTCTAATTATCAACGCTGAAAACAGTTCAAATGAAACCATGATGAATAGAAAGCTCAAAAGAACAGAAATGAAATTGTAACATTATAAATGTCACTTTTGATCAATTTATTTGTCCTTGCCAAATAAAATATGAATTTCTTTAAAAAGAAAAATAAATCAAGCCCCAAACCTTTGAATGGTTGTGTATGTGGGTCTGATTTTCTCATTTTTGTACCTGAAAAGGAAGTGAAATCTGAACTTGCTCTAATTTGTGGACAAGCCAACAGTCCCTTTAAGGAAAATTGCTTAATAAACATACTAAATAATGTCTCAATGAATGTCTGAAAATGTTTCTGTGAGGGTTAAATGTAGAGTTAGGGGCTAGAAAACATCATTAGCGCAGTATAACAAACAATAGAAGTCAAAGGAAAGCCCCACCATGACGGTAAAAGCAAACGTCCGTGTGTGTGTGTGTGTGAATGCCTCTGGTTACCCACAACCTGCCATTTCCCTTTTACGTTTGGCAGCAGACCGGCAGACGCCCAACTCTGAAACAGAGTAAAAGGAGGACTGCAGCCATGTCTACAGAAACTATTAAGTGTAACTCTAGATTATATAACTTCACTTATTCGGCTTATTTCACTTTGTGAAAGCACTTGCACTGTTTCCCGCATCCAGAATATTTTACCAGAAGTGCAAGGGCAAAAGAGTTTACTTAGAGGAACACACTGATACTTAAAACACTTGAAACAAGTACGCGCTTGCATCAAGTGAACATCCCAAACGCTCAAGCTTACAGTGTTGTGGTCTGAAGGATTTCAAATGAATGTTCTGGCTTCATTGTGTGTTCGGTTTTTCAGTTGTATGATGTCAGTGATCACAGATAATAATTTAGACTCGTTCCTGGGTTCTCAAGCAAAAATTGTGTTTTCAGTAATGCACTCATTATATAATGAAAGTCTATGGGGATTTACTCTGTGAGAAAAGTAAAAAGCTCCACCTGAAATCATGTGCTGTCAGTATATGTACTGCATTTGACAAAGAAGTTAATTCTTGACCACCAATAAAGTGCATTTTATCATGTATGCATTCATAGTATCAATATAGTAGTATATCAAAATAAAACATTGTATTTCATGATTACTGTATATTTACACATGCTACTCATTTGGCATACCGCTTTTCTCATGATGTTCAGATGAAAGTGTACAGTATTTTGAGTATGTAACCATAATATTTAAACGTTCAAAAGTTTGACGTAAGATTTTTAAAAAAGAAATTAATACTTTTATGCAACAAAGATGCATCAAGTTGTTCAAATATGACAGTAAAGCCAGTTACAAGGTAAGAACAGATTTCTGTTTCACATAAATTCTGTTCTTTTCAGCAAAGAATCCTGATTCCTCAAAAATACAAAGCAGCGCAACGGTTTTCATCATTGATAATAAGAAATGTTTCTTGAGCAGCAAGTCAGCATATTAGAATAATTTCTGAAGGATCATGTGACACTGAAGACTGGAGTAATGATGCTGAAAATTCAGCTTTGCATCACAGGAATAAATTACATTTGAACATATATTCAAATAGAAGACGGTTATTTGAAATTGTAAAAATATTCTACAATATTACTGGTTTTACTGTATTTTTGTTTAAATAAATGCAGCCTTGGTGAGCATAAAAGAGTTCTTTCAAAAACATAAATAATATTACCGACACTGAACTTGGTGTATAGAATCACTTACTAACTGTATTTGTGTAAAGTTATATGAATGAGTTAAAGCTTGTACCTGTTTCTTCTGATTTTCAGATGAAGAAAGGCAATAAGGATCCCAATCCGATCGTTCAGATTGCAGTGCAAGATGTTACTCGTGACAGCCGGGTAAGACGCACACCTACTATCCGTCCCAAATAATCTTTCCCATGTGACCCGCTCTTCTCGCTCACTTATTTCCCTTCCTCCAGATTTGCTGGAATACGGTGAACCCCCAGTGGGAGGACGCTTTCACTTTCTTCATCAGAGATCCTAGCAAGCAGGACATTAACGTACAGGTATCCTAACATCATCTGCCTGGTTTTCTAACCGTCTTCTGACCTGTTTACAATCCGACGGCTCTAAATACTGGTGTAAACGGCTCAGATTCGAATACTGACAGTGTTTGTCTCCAAATGTGAATTTTGCTAGTTCGCCTTCATGTTACCTAGTACTTTTTCCATCTCTTTCAGGTGAAGGATAATGACCGTGTTCAGGTTTTGGGAAGTCTGTCCGTTCCTGTTTCCCGTCTTCTCTTTTGTCAAGATCTGAATTTGGATGAGTGGTTCAATCTGGAGAATTCTGGTCCAAAGAGCCGCATCCACATCAACACAGTGCTCAGGGTAAATTCATCTGACACACGATACGCAAGCTTGAGTACACAATATATTACACACACACTACCTTAAAAACATACACACTACCTGTTTGTATCAAAGCTGAATTTTCAGCATCATTACTCTTCAGTGTCTCATGATCCTTCAGAAATGATTCTAATATGCAGCTCAAGAAACATGTTGTGCTGCTTCATATTTTTGTGGAAACCATAATACACTTTTCAGGATTTTTTTGATGAATAGAAAATTCAAAAGAACAGCATTTGAAATTGAAATCATTTTGAACATTCTAAAAGTCACTTTTAATCAATTTAACGCATCTTTGCTGAATAAAAGTATTCATTTATTTAAAAAAACAAAAAACTGCTTAAACAGTAGTGTACAGATTTCAAATCTATTATATTTGGAAAAAGACTCTCATTCGGTGTTGATGTCATTTCCTGCAGGTGCTCTGGTTGGATGAAGCCGCTGCAGCTGCCTCTCTCCTCTCCAGTGACCCTCTTTCAAAGAGTTCTGCCTCTCGTCCACAGAAGACGACGCCCCATTCCAGCTTCGCCACTGAGGTGTGCAGATCTGATCCATTAGTCAGCACTATCAATATCTCTGTGCTATTAATAATGTATCGCATTAGCCATACGAGTACTGAAATCAACATCCAGTTGATCATAACCAACCCTAAAATCATCTGCCCTTTGTTCCTGTAGGGGATGCTGCGTATCCACCTCGTGGAGGGTCAAAATCTGGTAGCGAAGGACAATCTGATGGGTGGGATGGTGAAGGGCAAGAGTGACCCGTATGTCAAGATCCAAGTCGGAGGTGAAACCTTTAAAAGTCAAGTGATCAAGGAGAACCTCAACCCCGTCTGGAACGAGATGTATGAGGTGGGAATGCTGGGAAATACATTTAGAAATCAACTCTAGACACTATGGCTTTGTCTGGAACGGTATGCTGCCATACTACTCATGCAATTTATGCAGTTTTTAGTATGTACGTATATTTGATATTTTCTTTAGCCATGCAGTCATTTGCTATAAAAATGCTGTATACAATCAAAGTCATTTTCATAAAAAACTTGAATCACAAATATAAAAGAACCGTATTTATTTCCAAAATCATAACTGGATATGACATATTGAATTAAATAGGCATAATATATTTATGTTTATTTGTTTTAAAAACGTAATATGGTCATGCAACAATGTTTGAAATGTGTATTTTTGCATGTTGCATACTGTTCACAATGCAATTCAAGGGCTTTACAAGTGTTAAAAACCAAGCATTAAAAATGATATTAAAATAGTTTATAATTAACTCTAAAAATAACTTGCATGCCAGTGGATATATATACTGTTTACATGCTATTTAAAAATAAACTATATTTATATAAATAATAATACTATATATATATATATATATATATATATAAATGTAAAAAAATATATAATATAAAAAATAATTGTTAATGTCTATAATTACATACAGTTTATGTGCTATTTTTTATAAAAAATATTAGTCTGTATACAAATTACGTGCTATGCAAGTGGACTTTTTACTTATTTAAGCTGCAGAATCTTTACCAAATGATTGTTTGACAGCATGGCAAAGTCATTTGAACTTTTTTATTTCCCATTGATATTTTTAAGGTGGTTTTGACGCAGCTTCCTGGTCAGGAGTTGACCTTGGAAGTTTTTGATAGGGACATGGACATGAAAGATGACTTTATGGGCAGGTATGAGGGCTGCTGTCAATATAATCCATAAGAATTCTAAACATTGTTTTGTTTTCGCATTATTTAGGGATGTATTGTTTTTCTTTTAGGCTGAAGATGAATCTGAGTGATATAATTAGCTCCGAATACATTAACGAGGTGAGTGTATGTGCATTTGTAGTAATACGTCTAAAAATAAGCTGCATTAATATAATGATTCATATGCTTTTGTGACTGTGTGTCAGTGGTTTACTCTGAGCGACGTTAAGCGTGGCCGTGTTCATCTTGCTCTGGAATGGCTTCCCACTGTAACACAACCAGAGAAACTACAGCAGGTGAGCAGCACTGTCTCTCGTCCTCGTTCACTGTCTGTCTGTGTTGACAATGCATTGATAAAACAAACTGATTTATTCTTCAGGTGTTGCAGTACCAGTCAAAGAGCTCGTACCTGAATAAGACAGTGCCGACTGCCGCTCTCCTGTTTGTGTATGTGGAGCGCGCGCATGAGCTTCCTGTGAGTGTGATATCTCTTTAACATCTCAGTTGTTGAGAGCAAATGGAGACTGGGATCTTCCTGTCAAAGACAATCTTGTAATCTTCCAGTAATCTTGCATGGTTCTCGTCGATCGCATAACTGTGCTCAGATTTGCCAAGATACAGTGTGCAATCAGAAGACAGAGATCTCAATATGAAGTCAAACATTTCTCAAATGATCTTACGGCTGCTATTTTTGATATATAAATGATTGTTTATTTAGCAAAGATGCATTGAATTAAATTGATTAAAAGTGTCAGTAAAGTTGTTCTCTTAAATCTTAATGTCTCTGTGTGTTTAGTTGAAGAAGAGTGGAAAGGAGCCTAAAGTTGGTGCTGAGCTGATTTTGAGAGGAACTTCTCATAGAACCACGGTAAGAAACTGTTTTTGCTCTTGAATTGATTATTGATTAATGATGTGTGGACACAGTTGACTTTCCTTTTCTTTACTGACACTGTGTGATGTAGGTCTCTGACCGCACCAGCTCTCCCCAATGGGACGAGGCATTTCACTTCCTGGTTCGAGATCCATTGAATGAAGACCTTGTTGTGAAGGTAAGAGAATGCAAACAGCACATTTTGATGTTATACAACTGTAGTGTTTGGCTTGCAACGCACCTTACCACCTGACTTTAACCTTTCTACCTCACTTTTTCTCTTTAGTTGTCCCACAATTGGGACTTCTCTCTGGGATCTGTGGTGATTCCCATCAAAGAGCTGCTCTCTGAAGCAGATCTGATGCTGGATCAGTGGCTCGATCTGGATGGAGCGTCACCCCAGAGTCAGATTCTTCTCAAAGCTCAGCTGAAGGTAAAACACACACACATTCTGTTATTTTAAAGTAAAAAAAAAATAAGTCTCTTCTGCTTACCATTAATCTGATCAGAAATACAGTAAAAACAGTAATATTGTGAAATATTATTACAATTTAAAATAATGGTTTTCTATTTTAATATATTCTAAAATGTAATTTATTTCTGTGATGCAAAGCTTAATTTTCAGCTGGCATTATTCTTACTCATTACTCTCCATTGCTGCTTAATTTTGTTTTTTTTGGAAACCACGATGCATTTATTTTCAATTTTCAATTTTTTATTTGTTTTTGATGAATAGAAAGTTCAAAAGAACAGCATTTATTTGAAAACTTTTAAAACATTAGAAACATCTTTACTCTCACTTTTGATCAATTGAATGCATGAATTCCTGAATAAAAGTATTCATTTCTTTTACGGGGTTTCTGCTGGTCTTAAAAAGTCTTAATTCACCCTTCCACAATTTAAGGTTTTAAAAAGGCCTTACATTCATACAGTCATGGAATTAAATCTTGCATGCACTGCAAAAACTGAATATCTTCTTCTATATTTTTGTATTCCAATACAAATATCTAAACATACTTAAATCAAGAAACATTTATTTAAAGGGGTCATATGATGTTGCTAAAAAGAACATTATTTTCTGTATTTGGTGTAATGAAATGTGTTTATGCGGTTTAAGGTTCAAAAAACACATTATTTTCCACATACTGTACATTATTTTTTCTCCCCTATGCCCCGCCTTTCTAAACCGCGTCTGTTTTTACAAAGCTCATCGGTCTACAAAGTAGTTTTGTTTTCACAACGAAACACAGCGTCACACACGGAGGACTAGAGTGAGCGGCGGCGGCCTAGAGTAAGCAGAGGCCGGGGCCTAGTGAAAGCCGATCCGGTGATCCACAGCGCAAAGTTGTTGTATTTCCTCAGCAACCAGCACGGATCAGCTCCACGCATGACGAAGCAGATATCGTACTCTTTTGGAAGGCCAAACAATGTAGTTTTGCTTTCACAACGAATCACACAGCGCCTTCACGACATGGCGGCGGCGGCAACAATACTACAGCGAGAATAAAAGTTACGCCTTCTTTCTTTGCGTGAACATTTGGGCGGCGTTATGCAAATCTTCCCACATCGTGACGTAGGTATGTGGGGGCGTGTTAGAACGAGCCGTTTTAGGTAAGCGTGGTTGACTCTTAACTTTTATAAAGAATATCTCTTTGGATTTGAGACTTTAGTCTTTGCAACTTTACAGATCTTCTTTATGCACCAAGAGCTTGTAACACTCCAAAGAGAAAGGAAAAATTAAAATTGCATCATATGACCCCTTTAAGATGCAAAAAAGGTAATTGTTTTCTGAGAAACTGAACTAAATTAAGTGAGTTTCTGCTTAAAACAAGAACGAATATCTGTCAATGGGGTATTAAAAATGTCCGTTTCAATTAAATTTTTCTGAGCAGTTTGGCAGATATTCTTGTTTTAATCATAACCATTTTGTTCAGTTTCACAAAAAACAAGACAACTTATGTCACGTTGCTTCTCATGTAAATGCATCTTGATTAAAATTACTTTAAAATATATTAAGTGCATTTTCTTTACTTGATCTTAAAAATTTTTTTTTTTTTTTCTGTTTTCAAAACAAAAATCTAACTGACTACTAACTTTTGAATTGTAGATTCAAAAGAGCAGCCTGTGCATTCTGCGAAATATCATTTAAAAATGAGTTTTCAAATAGAAAACAATACAGTTTGATCAGTAGTGCTTGATGTTGGCTTGAACTGTGCCTTTGAAGTATTTTGTACTTGATGTGGTGTTATCTTATGTTGTAGATTCTTTGTCCTAAAGAGACGGAGAGCTCTGAAGACCATGAGGAGCCCAAACATCCTGAAGCGTCCAGCTTTAGAAGAAAACCGGAGGAGGAATTAGTGCAGGAGTGAGAGGAGGAGAATTTCAAATCATAGAGCCCTCAAACATTTCTTTATTGATCATATTTAATAAACAGTGCCTTAAACTGAAGTTCCTAATTAAAATAAATAGATCTGCAGAACTGACAACTGATGTTTCATTCGTTATTTCTCTTAAAAATTGATGATGAAATCCATTGACTGTTAATAGTAATAATTAATAATAATTGTTACCGTAAACAGTATTTAAGTAAGTGTGGTTGTTTATTGATTATAGTTGACTGTTAAGTGTATTTATGGATATTTATTGATTGATGTTTAAGAGGAACAATGTTTCCTGTTCATATCGTTGCATTTTATGTAACTTCTGTGGCCACATAAGAGCAAAAAGACAATAAACGTACTTTGACTTTGACGTGTGTGTGTGTCTGTGATTGTTTGGGGGGTTTTAGGTCTAGTATTAAGGAGGTCCCACCATCTCCTGTCAGCAGGACTTCCCCTGTGTCAGTCCCAGAAGAGGAGGAAGTCCCTGAGGTCACAGAGGTCCCAGAAGTTTCCAGTTCAGATGACCTTCGACCCTTGCACACCAGCCCTGACCCCAGCTTTGGTGCCGAGGTGAGGAATGTTCAGACGGATGATGGACTGTTAATATGGCTTATAAATGCAAACATACCAACACAGTGGGGTGATTTGATGTTTTTTTAGGGCGTGCTCCGCCTCCACCTGCTGGAAGCTGAAGATCTGGTAACGAAGGACAAGATGATGGGAGGGATGGTGAAGGGGAAGAGCGACCCGTATGTCAAGATTCATATCGGAGACAAAATCTTTAAGAGTCATGTGATCAAGGAGAACCTCAACCCCGTCTGGAACGAGATGTATGAGGTGGGTTTAGGTCCTCAGAGGCTTAGTTTATGTTAAAAATGGTTTTAAAAATAATATCAATGCTTTTTCCAGCTGGTTCTGACCTCCAGGTCGACCTCTGATGTCCTTGTGGAGGTTTTCGACAAGGATGTGGACAAAGACGACTTTTTAGGGAGGTATGTGGCAGTGTTGTTATTGCTAACTAAAACTATAAAAAAATCTTTGTGTTCATTGAAATAAAGCTCATATATTCCTCATAATAATATATAAATATTAGATGAGAAGTTTAAACAAAAATTAGAAATGTTGCCTTAATAAATTTAGCCTAAAATTACTTAATAAAAAAAAATGGAAATATAAATATAAAAGCTAATTTATTACCATTTATTACTACTGTGTTGTATGTTTGATGTGATGCTGGTCCATGTCATGTAATACATGTTTGCATATGAATTTTGCTCGGCCACAGGGTGAAGATCAGCTTACAGGAGATCATTCAGTCTCAGCTGACTGACGAAGTGAGTGATTCATCACTAATATTCTCTTCTCATTCATTTTCTTCAATGTTCTAATTTTGAGCACTTTTGACATTGAATTTTTCGTTTTGCAAATTTCATTGTGTTTTCTTTCTCTGTGTCAGTGGTTTTCTCTGAATGATGTCAAACATGGCCGGGTTCACATGATTCTGGAGTGGCTGCCCACAGTCACACAACCTGACAGACTACAACAGGTCATTATTAAATCTGACAAATTATGTTATATTATATTATATTATATTATATTATATTATATTATATTATGCAGACTTATGAATGATTTATGTTTTTGAGTTTTAAAAGTAGTTTGGTCTGTATGCAATCCATCTAGAGATGATCAGAGTAAAGTGTTTTATTTGGTGATTTAATTTTTAAAATTAAATTATGTAATTTAAAAAATATAGATTTTTATATATTTATATCATTTAATTTGCTAGTTTTGTAGTTTGCTTTTTTCAGTTTTACTTGTCAAGTGAGACTCATGCTGTATGTATACACTGTGTCAAGATTATAGCTTACCTTTCAGTAAAAATAATGAATGCATTAGCCAGTTTGTATTAATGAATAATAAATTTAATTACTCATTTTGCATGTAAGATGTCATGATTTTAAAACTATTATTTTAATGCATTTATTATTTATTTCTTAGTATGTTTAATGTGAATGTATTTTCTACAGTTTATTTTGGTGTTAGAGTCTCTTTTCTTGGTTTCTTCACGTCAGGCTCTGCAGTTACAGTCAGAGCATTCGTACCAGAACAAATCTGTGCCGTCAGCTGCTCTGTTCTTCATTCTCTTGGAGAGAGCTCACGACCTGCCGGTGCGTCTCTTATACGCATCATCCCACACTAATACAGTTATGCTATATTAGATGGAACTGTCTTAATACTGTCTTGTGTGCAGCTGAAGAAGAGTGGAAAGGAGCCCAAAGCTGCTGCAGAGCTGGTGTTAGGTGACATTTCCCATAAAACCAAGGTGGGCATTTGTGTCTTAAGTAAAGAATCAGTTTAGTGTCCATTTCTGACCCTTAATAAAAGCGACTTCTTTGCTGGTCTTTTTAAAGGTGTGTGAGCGCTCCACGTCTCCTGAGTGGAGAGAAGCGTTTCACTTCCTGCTTCATAAGCCTACAGAGGAGATTCTTATTATAAAGGTAAAATAGATGGAGTTTTGATATGTGGGTAGTCGACATGATATAATCCATCTAAAACTGTTTTTAATTATCCTTTTAGAATTATTATGCTTGATGGTTTTATTATACATTACATCGATTATTTATAATATGTATAATATAATAATTAATTGTCTCATTATTAGTATTATTTTATGTAATTTGTATACCACATATATATATTTTTTTTTTTCAATTTATTTTTATTTCGAACTATTAAAAATACAAAAGGAAAAAAACACATAATAAATATACAAATAAATACCAATAAACAACAAAAAAAAATAAACAAATATAAAAATATATATATTTTTTTACATATATTCAACCTGTTCGAAATAAAAAAAGGGTAGTTCTATGTTCCCCAATTTGTACGAATTGAAGTCTGTTACTTATGTAACTCTTCATCCAATCAAGTACAACCCCTCTGATACTATAATTTTCCAATTTAGTGATTAATAAACGGTGATCAATTGTATCAAAAGCTTTTTTCAAATCTATAAATACTCCCACTGCATAGTTCTTATTTTAACACATTCCATATTCCCTTCATATCATTTCTATTATCATTTAATATTTTATTATAATACTCTTTCTTACTTATCCTCATAATACTAGTCAGTTTATTTTTATATCTTTTATACTTATTATCAGCTTCAATAGTTCTGTTCTTTATAAATTCTCTATACAAGGTATTCTTTTTTTTACAAGCATTTTGTAAACCCTTTGTCATCCATGGTTTCTCATTAAATGTATTCTTTCTTTTTTTAAATTGTTTTAAAGGACATTGTTCATCATATAAAGTTTTAAATATCATCAGGAATGTTTCATAAGCTTTATCAGTATCAGTTTCCTCATACAATTATTCCCAGTTATGTTTAAGTAATTCACTTCTTAATTTATTTATTGATTCCACTGTTCTAATTCTCCTGTAACTAATTACATTAGTATCTTTTAACTTCACATGATCGCAAGCACACATTATAAAAACTGGTAAATGGTCACTTATATCATTAAGTAATAACCCACTCTTTATACTATTATCCATTCTGTTTGTGAATATATTATCTATTAGAGTTGCACAGTGAGATGTTATTCTGCTTGGTTTAGTTATTAGTGGAAAAAAACTCATACTAAACATTAAATCAATAAACTCATCAATCAGTTTATGGTTGTTGGGATTTAAGAGATCTAAATTAAAATCCCCACATATAAACACATCTTTATGATATTTCTTAGCAAATAACCTTTCCATAGTATTCTTAAATATTTCAATATTGGAACCAGGAGCTCTATATACACAACTTATAATTAAATTTTTCTTTTTTTCCAGAATAATTTCTACTGTTATAATCTCCATCTCATCATCAATATTAGTCATATTTTTCAAAATTGTATAATTTAATCTCCTGTCCACATACAAGGTCACTCCACCTCCTTTTTTATTCTTTCTATTAATGTAATTCAGTTAATATCCATTTAACTCACAATCCACTCCCTTCTCATTACTAAGCCAGGTCTCAGATATGGCTATCACCTGGAATGGTTTGTTTAGACGACTTAAGTATTCTTTAATATTGTGAAAATTTGCATATAAGCTTCTGCTATTAAAATGAATAATTGACATTCCATGCACAAATTTTACGTTCATATTAAATTGATCTTCAGAGTAATAACAACAGTTGTTATTTATATTGTTAAGAAAATTATTTTCAGGGAACAATTTTATCTTGTTCAAAATCATGTAAATTATGATCAGTGAATTTAAATGTTTTAAATATTGAGAGACTATACTAAATATTTGTACTTTTAATATATTATTATCTAATTATGTTTATTATTTATAATGATATTATTAAACATATTATTTGTCACACTGCTGGACCATTTAGTAACTGGCGACTAGTTACAGGACCTTTCTCATGTACATTAATATACATTTTAACTTGACTTTTCAATATTGATATAGTCCATGGACACATTATGCATCAAAACCCCTTATATATGTCATAATAAATATTCATAATGGATTTGAACTTTGTTCATCTTTTCTCTCGTTTCCTCGTAGCTTTCAAGTGCCTTTGAGCAGCCCTTAGGCTCAGTGGTTCTACCAATCAGAGAGCTGCTTTCAAAACCAGATCTACTGATGGACCAGTGGTTGAGTCTGGATGGAGCAGGTCCTGACACTCAGATTCTGCTGAGGGCACAACTTAAGGTCAAACAATAATTCTTATTGCTGTTTCTAAACTAATCAAATTAACTTACTAATTGTCTTTTTCAAATTGTCATTTCAGTTCTTAAAATCTAAATATATATTGTATATGGATCTCTCGCAGTTAGTTTCATGTTGGCGTGTCAAGTTGAGACCAGAAGACATTTGTAAATGTCTAAATTACACTTGTTTAATATCAGATTTTGGACTCAAGTTTGGATACAAGTGTCCTTCATCGTAAAAAGCCTGTTGTTGAAGAAGAGCATTCAGTGGGTGAAGAGCAGGAAGAAAAAGCTACAGTCACTGTTGAACACTCACAAGCTGCAGTCAGTAAAGAGTCTGAGAAGAAAACGCTGCCAACAAAAGGGTTTGATTGTTTTGTTATGATTACCGATTTCTTAAAAGTCATTTTGCTTCATTTGGAGAACTAAACCAGATGCTTGTGTTTGTGATGAACAGGGTCAGTGAACTGGCAGCCTCTACTTTAGCACTTCCTGCTGTATCACTGCCTGAAGAACATCAGAAACAAACAGACGCCCGTGATACAGATGACCATCACACGCCATCTGTACCCAAAACACAGCCTGCCACTGAGGTTAGTTTGTGTGTGTGTGTGTGTGTGTATAAAGCATCATTTACTTAAAGATTTGATTTTAATTAATTATTAATTTATTTTATATAATATTTGATTTTAAATTAATTAAAATCAATAATTATTTTAATCATAATGTCATTATTTCAATTTTTTTTATTGAATGATATTATAAATTATTCAACTTATTAAATTATTACATTTTATTTATGAAATTAATTAAATTATTTGACTTTTATTTAATTAACATTTTTGGTCCCACTTTATATTAGGTGGCCTTAACTACTATGTACTTACATTTAAATTAATCATTTAATACAATGCACTTATTGCGTACATACATGTTTTTACATTGTACTTATATTTTTAAAAATACCTGCATGTAAATACATCTGTAACTAATTTCTGTAATTACATTTATAATTACACTGTTGACCCATCGCTTACACCTTAACCCACCCATAAACCTACCCATACCACCAAACCTGTCCCTAACCTTACCCGTATCCTCAATAGCAGCAAAACTGTTTTGCAATACAATATGAACACAATAAGTACATTGTACTTATTTTTTGATGTAAGTACATAGTAGTAAAGGCCACCTAATATAAAGTGGGACCAAATTTTTGATTTAAACAGTATTTCAGATCCATTATATATTACATTAAACATTAAACTTTTTACTTAAATGATTAAATATGGTACAATAAACATTATTGTTTTGTTGAAAATGAATGGTGACCATATATTTTTTTTCTTTATTGATTTTACTTGTGTTAATTTAGTGTAATTGAAGCACTCTTATATTTTTTTTTATTACTAATTTTAATTATTTTAAATTTTTGTATTTTTGTTTTTATTTTAGTTTTTTAGTAATTTTGTAGTCTGTTTTTGTCATTGTTCTTAGTTCTTTTTTAAATATCTATATAGTTTTTATTCATTTTTATTTCAGTTTTAGCTATTTCAGCACATCGAGTACTAAATGAAAATGAAAAATATTTTTGGCAACTACTTGAAATAAGATAAGTTTTTTTATATTTTATTTTATTTCAGTTAGCATGTTTTATTTTGAGTAACAGAAAGGAGTTGTATTGTTTATTTAATTGTTTTAGTTTTAGTTAACCTTTTACTAACTTTTTAGTTTAGGTAACTTTTAGATAACTATAATAACTCTGATTATTTCTTATTTACAGGATCTCAGCAAAGTTCCTGATTCCACTCCCAGTGAGGGTGGATACATGGAACCAGTCAAAACATTTGGATCAGCCCATGAAGAGCAAAAACCAGAAGAGCAGTGCGTTAAAGATTTGATATAACCCTGATTTAGCTTTAATTAACAAAGTAATATATTATTAATACTCATAATAATGATGGGCCATCATAGAAAGATTGATTTCTTCATGTTAAACAGGTCTCACAAGAAGGTTTCCCCCAGTGCTCCTGCAGAGGAGTCAAAAGTCAGTAGTTCTGCAGACGTTCGACCCCAAAAGACCTGCCATGACCCCAGCTTTGGCACCAAGGTGAGTCAAGTCAAGTCACCTTTATTTATATAGCGCTTTTAACAATACAGATTGTGTCAAAGCAACTTTACAGCATTAAATAGGAAGATAGTGTGTCAATAATGCAAAATGACAATAGTAAACACTCAATTTTCAGTTAAAGGCAGTTCATCATTGAGTGGTAAATTTCTTGAACTTTTAGGTTCCTAGATCAGCATACCATTTTTTAGGTGTAGATGTAAGGATGTTGGAACATGTCCTACTTGGCAGGATGACTTCAGTATTCTTCTAATGTTATGATTGTTTAATGTCTGTCCCATAGGGGGTGCTGCGCATCCATCTTTTGGAAGCTCAGGATCTGGTAGCGAAGGACAACATGATGGGAGGGATGGTGAAGGGGAAGAGCGACCCGTATGTCAAGATCCATATCGGAGACACAACCTTTAAGAGTCATGTGATCAAGGAGAACCTCAACCCCACCTGGAACGAGATGTATGAGGTGGGAATGCTGGGAAATGTAGTTCGGAAAAATTAAGGTGTCGCAGAAATGTCTGTAATGGCTATGATTCATGTGTATTTATGCTCATGTCTTCAATATTTTAAATTCTTATCTGTAAAATAATAATAAAAAAACATTACTTTAAAAGAAATTAATAGTTATATTTTCCCATTTTTATTTACTAGATGATTCTGAGTCCCGATCATGATCTAGACGTGAAGTTTGAGGTCTATGATAAAGATTTTGAATCTGATGATTTCCTTGGAAGGTTAGTACATTTACAACCATTTTTACTCATTAAAGCACGGAAACCAGATTTTTTGCATTACATAATTTTTTGGGGAAAACTAGGCACATTCCCCATCCATTTCATATATATCATGGTAGTATTTGTTTTCAACTTGTGTTGATTTAAAAAAAAAATAGTAAAACAGTTTTTGCTGTTGATTTTTGGGTGAAATATGCACCAGATAAATCTTCTGAAATTTACTCTAAACATTAAAAAAAACACTTTATTTCAGATGCATAAAATAAATTACGTTTTACTTTGTCTTCATGTGTGTTCAGGTTCAAGCTCAAACTTGGACATATCATCAGTTCCCAGTACAATGATGAAGTGAGTATCAGCATATTTGGCTCTGGTTTGTAAGATCATAACACAATCAGCACATGAACCTGTCCCCGCTGCCTTTTCTTTTCCAGTGGTTTACTCTGAATGATATAAAACACGGTCGAGTCCATTTGGTCCTGGAATGGCTTCCCACCTCAACACAGTGGGATAGATTGGATCAAGTCAGTTTTGCACGAAAGCACACAGAGTCTGTTGGTTGTTATATATATATATATATATATATATATATATATTAAATTGACATAATACTAAAAATGGTCTTTTTTTACTAGGTAATGCAGATGCAAAGCTCTCAGACCTACCAGAACAAGTCTGTGCCGTCAGCAGCGTTGTTGTTTATTTACTTAGAAAGAGCTCATGATCTGCCTGTGAGTCGATGTACTTCTACACACTATCAGTATCCTATCATTTATAGTGCTTGCATTAAAAAAGACAATTTCTAGTCAATACTAAATTAAGTAGAATATGTTTGAATTTGTTTCCATAATGTTTCAATATTTTAAGCTATTTAAAAATATGTATTTATGTATGTATAATATTATACATTAATATGTATATATAATATCTATTACATAACATAGATACATAAAATACAATATATATATAAAAAACGTTATTTTAAGAGCTTTATAAAAATATTGTATATTATACAGACTTTTATATATATTTGTATTAATTATGTATATCACTATATGTATATTTATTCTACTGTATTAAGTATTTCACTGACTATAAATTATCTTTATTAACAAAATCTTTACAGTATACATTATTTGAATGATTGGAAAAGTAATGAAAGTTTTTTTTTTTTTTTATAATAATAATAACAACCTGTCATTAATTAATTCTTTATGGTTACTTGTCTAGTTGAAGAAAAGTGGAAAGGAACCCAAAGCTGCTGCTGAACTTGTACTTGGAGGAACATCCTATAAAACCAAGGCAGGAGACTTTTATCTATAATAGCAATCATGTAGTCTTATAAAAAGTGAAATGGTATATAATTTATTTGTAATATTTTAATTCATTTAAATTATTTTTTCTGTGCTCTCACATTTAAAGGTGTGTGATCGCTCATCTTCTCCTTACTGGAATGAAGCATTTGACTTTCTGGTTTATGACCCCAAAAAAGACATACTGGTCATTAAGGTGAGGATATTTTAGCCTGAAATGCAGTTAATACCATTTTGTGAAGATTGCATGCATTAAATGATGCACTGAATAATAATCAACAAATATTCAGCAGCTGCAATATATGATAATATATATTTAAACTTGTCATTAGTGTATACACCTTAGTGTCCTTCAGGTTAAGTACATATTTAACACACATCAACAAAACTAAACTAACATGCTCAGTTGACCTGAAAGAGAAACCGACAGTAGAAGAAGAGTTTAAAGGGGTCATATGATATTGCTAAAAAGAACATTATTTGGAGTATTTGGTGTAATGAAATGTGTTTATGCGTTTTAAGGTTCAAAAAACACATTATTTTCCACATACTGTACATTATTGTTTCTCCTCTATGCCCCGCCTTTCTGAAACACATCGATTTTTACAAAGCTTATCGGTCTGAAAAAGCGAGGTGTGCTCTGATTGACCAGCTATCCAGTGTGTTGTGATTGGCCGAATACCTCAAGCGTGTGACGGAAATGTTACGCCCCTACCATACTGTGATGCCCTGTCTGGCCGGAGCGACGAGACAAAAACATTAAAAACCATTATAAATTATAAGGATTATAATGACTTATACTGTCTTTTTACACGTTGCATTGCATCGTGCAGCGTAAACATAAAACCATGTCTGCATTTGTGATTGGAGAAATGACAAACTACGAACGCTACTCTACACTGCTCAAAGCTCGTGTTTGAATCATCAGTGGCAAATTCTTTAAATATAAAAAATGTACTTACAGTCTGTGAGTCAGAACAGCCGGCATTGTAGTCTACTCTTCCAGGATCAGGAAACAGTCCTCCATAAAATGCGCTGCACACATCTGAATATTTGGGTTAAACTGTTTTGGAACAGTGTTGTAAATACAACTTAACCACTGATTTCTAGTCGTGTCCTCTTTTGGAGGCCAAACAAAGTAGTTTCGCTTTCACAACGAATCACACAGCGCCTTCACGACATGGCGGCGGCAGCAACAACAATACTACAGCGAGAATAAAAGCTACGCCTTCTTTCTTTGCGTGAACATTTGGGCGGAGTTATGCAAATCTTCCCACATCGTGACGTAGACATGTGGGGGCGTGTTAGAACGAGCCGTTTTAGGTAGGCGTGGTTGATTCTTAACTTTTATAAAGAATATCTCTTTGGATTTGAGACTTTAGTCTTTGCAACTTTACAGATCTTCTTTATGCACCAAGAGCTTGTAACACTCCAAAGAGAAAGGAAAAATTGAAATCGCATCATATGACCCCTTTAAACGAATGCTGCTATTTGCGCCCCTTGTGGCAACACTGAGAATGCAACAGTATTTGTGTTTAAACTAGAAGGCTTTATGCATTAGATCTTAAATTATGTTTATTTCAGACTCTCATTTGATTTATTGTCATTCTGAGCAGCTCTCAAGTGCCTGGGACCAACCCATGGGCTCTTTGGTTCTACCAATCAGAGATCTGCTTTCAAAACCAGATCTACTGATGGACCAGTGGCTCGATCTGGATGGAGCTTCACCAAAGAGCCAGATGTTACTCAGGGCACAGCTGAAGGTTAGACAACTTGAGCTATCTGCGCTCATTTTGATGGTTGTTTTAGTCACTCAGCCATGAAATAGTATCACAATGCTGTAAATATAATCAACATTTTCTCTTCCATCCAGATCTTGGATTCAAAAATGGCTGCCTTAGTGGCCATGGGTTCAGGTCCTGTGTTGAGTAATAAGCAGGCGGCCACCACCGGTCAGATCAAAATCTCCCTTTCCTTCCAGAAGAAGCTGACAGTGATCATCCATGCCTGCAGGTCTGGTGTGATTAGAAACCCTTTTGACTCATTTCAAGTTTAGAAATCGCCTATGTAAGTCTGACGTTTGAGGTGAAGTGAGGACGTTCTGTGTTTGTGTGTTTTCAGGGGTCTGGTTACATCATCTAAGGACAGCTTAGACACCTACGTCTCCCTCATTCTGCTGCCGGATAAAAGCAAGGCCACGAAAAGAAAGACGACTGTGAAGAAGAAAAATCTGAACCCTGAGTTCAATGAAAGGTTTGGAGACGTGTGTGTGTGTGTGTGTGTGTGTGTGTACAGGTTTATATATCCTGGTGGGGACTTAAACCTGACTACACACAGACTCATGGGGACTCGTGTCACGGTGGGGACCTAAATTGTGGTCCCCACGGGTACAAAAGCTTATAAATCATACAGAATGAAGTTTTTTGAAAATGTAAAAATGCAGAAAGTTTCCTGTGAGGGGTAGGTTTAGGGGTAGGGTTGGTGTAGGGCAATAGAATATACGGTCTGTACGGTATAAAAACCATTACGCCTATGGAGAGTCCCCACAAGGATAGCTGACCAGACATGTGTGTGTGTGTGTGTGTGTGTGTCGTTCATGAATAAGAGAGATTTAAGTGAGTTGTAATCAGTTCTGTGAACTATGTACCATGGTAATACTTTACTTTTGCTTTGGAGCACCATCTAAACACAATGGTGTGTTATTGTAATTTTTTAGTAACATACAGTGTTGGCCAAAATTGTTACAATTAATGGCTAAATGAATGTTTGGAAATGTATACTGATATTTCCTACTGACACACTACAGCAAAAGATAGAAATAACTGACTTAAAACCATTTTAGCTGGTGAAAATACTAGTGTTCTAATACTTTTGGCCACCACTGTATATACCATATAGTATAATACCATAAGGATGTGTTTAATTCATCTTCAAACATTGCATTGTGTAAATCTGTCTTTTGATTTTATGTTCTGAAATGTGTTTGCATTTTCTGTCTTAGATGTGAAGTGGTTTCAGATGAGTTTTTATCAAACCTTGACCCAGTGAGTGTGTCATAATCTGCAATGTTGTTCTGTAGGTTTGAGTTTGATATGAGTGTAGAGGACGCTCAGAGACGAGAGCTCAGCGTTTGTGTGAAAAACGCATCCTCGTCCTTCATGAATCGAGACAAAGACGTGATCGGCCAGGTCAGTCTGCCTGGGCTCATTTCAGCTGTACAGGAATATACTGCAAAAAAAAATAATATATATATATATCTAGACTTCCTAACACTGAAACATATGTGCACAAAATTGTGTAAGATAAGACTTGTTTTCAGAGAATTAATCTTGAATTATGAGTAACTTTTTTTGTATTCTTTGTTTTGAATTAAATTTTATAAATATTTTAATTTTATAATATGTATATTAAAATTTTACTGTAATTTATGTTACTAATATTTATTTAATTTAATCATCACATTTAATTGTCATTTCTTGTAGGTGCAGATAGACCTGGGACATGTTGACTTAGTCTCTGGAGTCACAGAATGGTGAGTTTTTGTACTTTTAATACACGAACATATAAATATGTTCTCTGAGCAACACTTTCCAATGTAATTATTATGTATTGTTTATTTTGTTCTGATATCTGTTTAACTTTTTCAAAGATTCAAGAAATTTTTATTTTTGGATGAATTGTTCCTTAAATTGTTTTTCTTTGTCGGTCAGGTTTGATCTGAAAGAAGAGCAGAACTAGCTCTAACTAGAACACAGTGTTCTTGACCCGAGCACTTCACAGCCAACCTTAAACCTCTTCCTGAAGTTCATCAGGTTAACTCTGCTGTCATGTATCGCTGCCAGTGCTTCCCTTCCATCTTGTTTTATAACTTCACAAACACACATATATTTCTTTCCTCCGTCTATTTATCAACAGATGATTTTTGAGTGACCGGGTTATATGTTATGATTGATCTTAGTGATTTGAACATATTACTGCATTGACAAATCAAGTTTAGAGTATTACATCAGAACTGATATATAAATTGGTGATATCTGTATAAATCAGTATCGGACGACTGAATGCTAGCCGTATGTATTTACAGAGATGTTGAGTAGGTGTCTGGAAAGAGTCTTGTCTTCCTGTGCAGGTTGCAGGATGCTGCATTTGTGTTTAAATTCAGAAGGAAAAGGATGTTTTAAAATGGGTTTCATGTTTTGTTGTTTTTAAACCAAATAAATATTTCTTTTTCTTTATTGAAAATGACAGGATACAATACTAGGTCTAAATGTACAAATTTATGAAGGATTATAATTGACAGAAATTTGTGCACCAAAAATATAAAGTGGTGTTATTTAGTCTACACATCACCACCTAAAAATGATTTAAGATAGTTAATGTGCTGTCACCACAATCTTTGTGTTGCATTTGGATAACTAGCTGCTGTTTACACATTCATGTGGTTTATACAGCTTCTGTAGTCCATTGTGATGCCAAATATCTAGAAACGATGACTTTAAAGCTTGCATGTTACATTGTGTTTGATTTTAGGCCTTTAAAAAAAGGGGAGTTATTTTGTGGTCATTTTTATTTGCAGTCATTTATGACAGTCTATACATAGGGTTCCCATACTTGTGAAAACCTTGAAACAACAGGGAATTTAAATTGATTTCCAGGCCTGCAAAAATCATGGAACATCATAAAATGTTAAAAGTCCTAGACATTTCTAAAGTGAGTGTAAATTTCTTGTTATTCTTGGACATTGAGTTTCAGAGTCATATGCGTTGAATCAAATGCATTGAGCTGCATTCAGATCTCAGGCTCTATTTTTTTTCTGTTTGGATACTTTTGTACTCCATGTATGGTTGTTTAAATCACTTCGTTCCAAGGATTGGTACCCGAGTTACAAATGAAACTCCAGTAATGTCTAAAATGATTTGAATGATACTTAATCACTAATAGTTGGATATCGTGATAAAAGTCATGGAAATTCATTAGTTAAAAGGGTGGGAACCCTGTACAAGAGCTAGACCAAAAGTAAATGCTTTTACTGAGCTTTGTTCACGTTTTCATGATTTTTCATGTTTATAATATACTTAATCTATAACTACCATTCAAATGTTTGGCGTCAGCAAGATTTTTTAAATTAATACTTTTATTCAGCAAAGACAAATTAAACTGATCAAAGGTGACATTTATGTTACAAAATATTTCTATTTCAAATAAATTCTGTTCTTTTGAAATTTCTTTTCATCAAAGAATCATAAAATAAACAGTTTGCTGTATTTTTGATTAAATAAATGCAACACCAGTAAGAATAAGACTTTTTTTAAAAACAAACAAAATATCATAGAGTCCCCAAACTTTTGAACGGTAGTGTACAGTATTTTTTCTTGTCATGTTTTACTTTACTAGTTTGAGTTCATACGGTATTTTGCTGCATTCCATTTGTTTTCTATCACTGTGCGCATGTTACTTTTATTTTCACAAGTTTTATATTCTACATTATAACATGCTGTAATGTGTTGAGATTTGTGCAAATTGGTAAACACCAAAGAACCAAACCATGCTACAGACGACCATGTTCAGCTGAACTGCACTATTCATACTGCCACACATTTCTGAATGTATTATCTCATATTCACAGCTGTCAATAAAACAGTTATGGCATCAGAATGTTGTCAAAAGCCTTTTATTAATATTCAAACGGCATAAGCAATACTACATAAAAAATCACTAAAAAGACCTTCTGTGGAAGTTTATGATTTTTATTTACCAAACCAGTCTATGTTGATCATGCACAGCTTTATTGATGCTGCATTGTGCAAGCAAACAAACTACATCTGCCACCATTTAAAGGTCATGTGGTCTTTTTTTACGTAGTATGTGAAGTGATTTATAGATCAAATCAGCCCATCAATGCTTTTGTCTTAGTATTTTACAAAAAGACAGTGTAACATGCAGTTCATACATGAATAATATAATGACAACACGTTTTCTCATGGTATAAAGACAAGAGAGCGTTTCTCCCTGAAGGGAGACATTATCAGCCTTCAAACCATCTAATAATGACTTCCAGGTCCATTTAGGCATCTTCCCACAAATAAAGACTTCAAAACCATTTCAGTTTTACGTGAGACTGGAAAAGAAGAAATAATGAAGTTTAGTTGGATTTGAAATAATAATCAGAATATTTTTAATTGGATAAACTATATGTATTTCTCCAGACTTGAGTTGTCATCACATACCTGTCGATGAGCGAGTCTCTCATGGTAGTTGCGATGGCGCTGGGCTGCGTTTCACTCAATCTGAAGACGCTCTCGATGACTGACAGCTCAGTGCTTGTGGTGTCCAGCCCACAGAAGGCACACCAGTCGTTCACCACCATACCAGCAGCGATCACCTCACTACCGCGGTTCACCGTCCCAGCCTGCAGAAAGAAAACAATCAGTGCTCGGTTATCAAGGAGCCAGCATCAGTGCAAAGAAATCAAGTAGTTCCTTAAGAAGTACATTTCTAAAGGTTTCTGACAAAACACTAGTTACTTCAGTCTAGGGTTTAATACGTTAATGTATTGAATACGTTTGCCCCTATTAATCATTTCACATAAATATTTAGATAAATACCAAATACGGCTGAAAATTTGGGATTGGCAGAATCAACTATCACACTGACATTAAAATGACAAAGATTAACAAAAAACTAGCAACTATGATACAAATTTTCAAACACATCCTCTGTGTATGTATTTAGCATCAACCCCAAGTACGAGAAATTATAAGTGTTTCTTATCTTAGTAAACACCACTATTTATACTATTCAAAAGTTTGGGTCGGTAAGATTTTTGACATTTTTCAAAGAAATCTCTTAAGCTCATCCAGGCAGCCTTTATTTGATTAAAAGTATTGAGTATTTCTTTCAACAACAACAAAAAAAAAAATCATACCAACCCCATACTTTTGAACTGTATGTTTATGTTTTGAATATAATATATCATAATCAGTCAGTAGAATTCCATCAAGTGCAGATGAAGTGATCGTCAGATATTAGAGAGCGGTCACTCACCACTAAAGGTACTTGCAGGAGTGATGAGAGTTCATCTTGATCTTCTATGGAGGTTTTGGGGTGGACGAGGCCTCCCTGGTTACTGAAGGCACAGTAACTACCCACAAGCACCTGCTCCGCAATCGTCTGTCTGAACACTTCCACCTTGAGAGTGTCTGCAAGAATCTCTTCGGTTTCCTGTGGACAATAATCCCCTGAATTTAATACAAAAAACATCAGCTTTGGGAAATAAACTTTCAACTTTCTAATGGTTTCATCAGCCTTAGAGGCTTTTTAGAGAAATATAAAACATCATTGGGAAATAATTTAGAGCCATTAAGACCATTTAAGGTTCGGAGAAAGTGCTGATTTCAGAGAGTCTTCCATTAGTGATGTTCTTACTCTGTCCAGATCAGGATGAACTAGAGCAACATAGTCGTTACAAGCGATGACGTTCCCCAGCGCAGAAAGACGCTCTTCTACTCTCTGAATCCGCACTGAATCTGGCAGGCAGTTCCTAATGTGCTGTAACTCTTGATCTGTCGTGTTGTTGGGCACCAAGAGACCGTGACGATTTCCTGCAGAAGAGCATCCCAAGACGGACACACAACATCTATTAAACATCACGTATGAGGACATAAAAGCGTAACAAGACCTAATCTGATCTAGCTGCTAAAAGGTTAATTTCATCACATTAAAGGTCTTGTTACATTATCTACTGAAACAACATCTGTATTTTTGATCAACATACAATAAATACAAAAATTATGTTAATCGATCACAAATTTGCTAAATAAACTGGATTGGATAGATTTTCTTACCCACACACATTCTGCCAATAATTCGACATCCTGCTATAGAGGCATGAACGACAGGCATCGTTTCTGACAGTTCACCTTCAAAGACACTGTGGGGAAAAACAGACATTTTATATATCTATCATATATATATATATATATGACGTGACATGACATGTGGCCAAGTATGGTGACCCATACCACACACACACATATTTTCAGTAATCTAATTTATGACTCACCTGTAAAAGTTTTCTGAACCGCCAATCGCCACCAAGCAATATGTGTTTGTGAGTTTGGCAAAGCAGCCAATTTCATTATTCTTTTCAAAAGATGCACGGACTGCCATTCTTCTGCTATTGAACTGATCAAAGCTGTCTGAAACTGATGAGAAACAACATTCACAGTGAGATGATGATAATAATAAGAAAAAAAATAGGGTAGATATAAAAACGTGATATAAAACAAACATTAATAACAGAATACAGCATATATATAATTATGATCTGGTAAGTTGGGAGTTTCTGCTCTACAATTAGGTTTTGATCCAAATAGAAACATAAACATTCATATTTCAATAGAAAATTATTATAAAGGATAATCATATTTCTAAACAGCGCATATAGTGCTATTTTAGGATTAAATCTGATCTTTGTACCTGGTTTTGATTAGGTTAGAGAAATGTACTTCTGAAACTATTATTTTTAAACATATGGGACTCTAGGGCACCATGATTAAATAAAATAATTCTCAACAAAACCTCAGGGTTAAACTTGTTCCAAGTAACTTTCATTTAACCAGTACTTAGCCAAGGTAACGTTAGCTAGCAGTCGGCTAAATGACGTTATTTTAACTTCTCTATTCATTAAACGCTATCAATTCTGTGTCCTCTAATAACAACGCAGGTTAATAATGCATATTACATCCTAAATGTAATAACTGTACTATAAAATTCATGGCAATTACAACAGTAATCTTATATTTACCGATTGTCGCTCTATGTAGAAGCGTGGACAGCCGAAAAACCACGTGTTCACTTCACTTCCTCGACGTGCTGACGTCAACGCGTTACGGTACGTGATACGTTAGCGCATGTTGTCATGAGAAACACTGCTGCCTTTGTTTTGATTCTTAAATATCAAGTTATCAGATCCTTATTCTTTGAACAATGAAGAATCCGTATTCGTGTTAATAAAGGCTTTTTGTATTTAAAAATTGATTTAAGTTAGACCACATTTCTGTCCATCTGTTGAGCATATACAGAGCATTTCTACAAAATCTCTCAAAAACCCCCTTAAAAAGTTAGATGCTAGGTGTTATTTTTATTGATTTTTTTTTCTAATAAATAATATAAATTAATAATGCATTATAATAAATAAAACAATTAAACAGCAAACAAAAATAATAAAACTAATAAAAACATTTAACAATCACATAAAACGACTTTTATTTGCTTTTTTTGACTAAAATTGTCAATTGTTAATGAACTGATATATACATTTTGGTATAGTGTAGTCTGTGTACGTTTATTATAATAATTTAAGAATAACACTGTATAACATAAGATTCAAAGAAAATACTTAACCCGTTCAGTGATTCACTTTTGCTGCAATTTATTCCTTTTAATAGCATAATCAAAATGAATTAAATCAATATATATTCTGTTATCTTTTTAAAATGAGCACATTTACATTGCTATAACCTGTTGTTGTCTGAACGGCTGAGACTGGCGAGCCATGTTCCCACATGTTTTTGTCATCCGCTACAAACCTGCGTAGCAACAGGACACACCTCTCCTTGCGCTAAGGATTTGTGAGCCAATCACGATTGAGTTTCGGCGTGACGTCGTTTTTGTTGACACATTTTCGATTAGCTGGCCACCTGTGAAACGTCATTGCAGCAGCGCGTGCGTGACCATCGACGTCCACCCCGCGTTTTCTGCCTGGAAACGTCGCGAGCTAATCGGTGCTGTGAAAACGCAGGACTCCGGGGGCTGGAGTCGGCGTCGGGTAAAGTCTTGCCGTGCCTCTATTCGTTAACGCACTATTGATCTGTTTTTGTCCCAGTCACGGTGTCAAACGCTCCCTAAGTGCTTGCTGCGTATGTAGGTTTTTGCAGTGTCCTCAATACATTGCTGTGCTGTCTGTTGTGAGTCACGGTCTCAAACCGAATCATCTGCGAACAATTTTGTGAGAAAGTTTCAACATAAAGATCTAATTAATTCGGGAAGGTTTCCTGAGACATGTACCATGGTTATACCATGTTTTTTTTTTCATCTACATTTGTA